ACACGCATGGTTGAGTTAGTCGCCTTGCGCTTCGTCACATAGTTGTTCGGTACACGTCACTCTTGGGCCCTGCGTTCTCATGCATTTGTGTACCCCGTTGCGTCCTGACCAGTTTGCTGGTTTCTGTGCGCAGGCGCATCGCTCTGCCTTGGTTGGGTCCTCTCTGGCTACTCCTGCCTAGACCCTTGCATGGATGCGTTTTCTGATGTTGCGACGGTTCGCTGGCGCCGTCAGAGCCTCTCCTGCTGGACGACGTCACCAGTACTACCTGATCATGCCCGTCAGGTTCCCTGGGTGACTTCCTGCACGGTGACAGTCCCACCACGCGGTTCTTCTCTTTGGACGCGTCGGGGCGACTGCGCGCCATGTTGGCTGCGCTTGGTTCGCCTCAGGGTTGACCTCACAGACGCCCTGGGATGCAGCTTGCACGTTGTCTCAGGCGCTGGCCCTTCAGACTCCCTGGGATTGCACGACGCTGGCTCCTCAGACACCCTGGGTTGCTGCTCCCGCCGCCTGGGCTGCGCCGCGCGCGCTCGGGAATTTAGCCACGGCCGCGGCCCGACCGTGACTGCCCGCCGCTGGCGCTTCCGCCTGCGGCCGTAAAAAAAAGGACGCCCCTAGCGATATCGTCATTTTCGGCGGTCTTCAGGGCGCTCTTGGAGCCATACTGGCAACATCTCTCATGATTTCATCTTGAAACACTGCAAGAATAATGCTGAGAACGTCTCATTATGTTGAGGATGTGTCGGACGAAATGCTAACGTTCTGCCGTGCTCTTTTGTCTGGTCTGCCGTGCGGCCATTCATTTTCAAAGGATGTCCCGAGCGAAACCAGTCTTCAACATATCAGGCAGTAAACACCTCCGTCGACATATGATTTGTTCGAGGACGTCTCAAACGAGACGCCAATTTTTGCAAATTAGTAAATTTCGCGGCGATCCCTATCGGGGATCTCGAGAGAAACGCCTGTTTGGTTAAATGGATGCAGCGGGTATTTCATTGTAGCGAGGATGCCTCAGGTGAGATCGCCATTCTGGGGGGTCCGCTAACCCTCGGGGAAATGAAATCCACCATCCCGTAATGATGAAAAATGAACCATGTTACCAATTCAGACACAACGTCCAGCTCCCTTCTCGTGCCTCCAAAACGCTTCCCGTGAACCTTTTGCAACCGCGAGCCAGTTATCCCCCGCGAGATCGTTCTTTTTTATTCCCTTGCGAGTACGTGCTTCACTTATTCCTCAGTCAGCATGGCCTCGCAAACTCCCATCACCTTCTCGCCCCGAGAAGGCGTTTTTTTGACGGCGCAACCCCGATCTAGAAGTGTCGCGAGCCCTCGACAAGGCCTGCCCGCTCTGGGGTGGCCCGCGCGCGCGTGCATCTAGGATGCATCATGCGTGGCAACCGCCCTCTGGTGGCGGGCACGCACGACTGGCCATGGCCCTCTGGCCAGGAGACAGGCGGCGCGCCGCTGCAGCCGCGGTGGAAAACAAGCAGACAAGGATAATGCAGCAGGCCGGCGAAAGTGACGCGCATGGAAGGCAGACCGCCCTTCCCAGCAGAGCAAAGGTGGCAGCGTCATGCGCCGCAATGCGAGTGCACAAGATCAGGAGACAACTGAGCACGCGAAAAGTGTGACAGGGCGAGCATAGTAGTCCGGCCGAGCCAAACTCAAAGTCACCAGACACTTGCCCTGATACCCCCTGTTGCGACACGTGCAAGACGGCGACGAATGACCAGCCGCGGGGCCCAGCTGAGACAGAACTGTAGAAGCAAGGATGAATCGCCACGATTGAAAATCACAAAACTGTAGATCCCATACTGCCCCTGACTCAACAACTGTAATGGTGAGGCATGAGGACAGGGAAGTTGTGTGAAATCCAGCTGCAACAGTTCGCCACTGTTTTCCCAACGCGTTAAGCGGTCGCCTCAGTGCCCCGCCCGCCCCCTTGCGAGCGCGGCGCGGTAGAAGCTGTAGGATGTGCCCAGGCTTTGCGCCGGCTCGCCCCCGTCGTAATCGCCTGGGCGGCATGGGGCTCCACGGCGGTCGCGCCGCCACCGAGCGCTCGGCCCTCCAGCGCGGTTCAATCCGGCGCGCGAAGGCGCGCAGAAAGAAGAGAAACGAAACGTGCCCCGCCATCGATCTGCAGTCGTGCTGCGCGGGGGCTCGCGACCCCGCTGACGCGAAGAAAACCGCCATGATCGCTCGAGCCAGGGCCTGGAGAAGGCGCTTTTTTTGAAGACTCAACCCCATCGCTGAGGTCTCGCGAGCATTCGCAAAGCCAGCCGCGCGGTCGGCCCACGCGCGCGCGCCCACGGACGCAACGCGCGAAGCTGACCACCCTTCGGTGGGAAGCCCGCGCATCAACGCGCGACCATCTGGTCACTGGATGGCGGCGATCAATGATTTTCAAACAGCGCAACGCAGCGTGTGATGGAGAAACGTTGTACAGCATAGCGGGGGGCGCCTTTACCCGCGATGCGAAGTCGGCAACGCTCCAAGCTTTTCAAAGGCAGGGCTGCGGGCCGAGCCAAATTCCAAGTAACCGACGCAGCGGGCCAAGAAGGAAGGATGGCGGATGAGGAGGCACAAGCGTTAAAACACATAAAACTAAACCAGGCGCCTGCGGCAGGCTTCGCTGGAGAAATGAGGGCTGGCGCATGCAACTTGGTGGACTCACCTGATATCCGAGTCTGCTACTTCCCTTCCTTGAGCTCACGGCGCGGAGGGAGGAGCATGGCTGTCGTCGACCGCAAGTCCCACAAAGTCATGCCAGTTCGACGCCCCACGGGGTTGTGGGATGGGTTCGATCAGCACGCGGTGGCGGTCAGTCGCTCCGATCCAGCTGCGCGACGCCTGGAGAGCTGTTTTTTTTCTTCTTTTTTTCTTCTGAGGGGGCTTCTCTCTGGCAGCGGGCGCCTCCTGGGGCGCCGCAGGGGCCTGCAGCAAGATGCTCTCGGCCACGTTATCCTCCGCGGCGGCGTCATCCTTGAGGGCGGCTCCGTGCCCTCGACGTGCCGGCTGTAGGTGGTGCAGGTCCGCTCGGGGCAGGACGTCGGGGCGCCTGCCCTGCGGGTGCCGCTGTGCGCCTCGCCCATCTCCGCGTCTGCCGCCATGGCGGTCTTGCCCTCGGAGTTGTAGGGCTCCGCCGCACGGTCCATGCCCGGCTTCGTCTTGGCCTTGTTCTCGAGCTCCAGGGCCACGCGTCGCGGTAGGTGGCTCGATGGCTGTCCTCGGGTCGGGGGCGAGTTTGGCCATCTCCTTCAGCGGCGCCCTCTCTACACAGGGCACCGGTAGGGCCGCGTTGGTCGGCGAGACAGGTGGCCCACCCGACGGCCTCCTGCTTCTGTTTGATCATGCAGCCCATGTCATCAGAGACGGCAAGGAACTGGCGCTGCGTCATGGACGTGAGGAGGTCGCACGTTGCTGAGACCATCGCCAGCTCCAGGAAGTCGCAGTAGCGGGTAGAAGAGGTGTGCGCAAGTTTCTGGACCAAGGGGGCGATGGCGTGGTGCGCGCGGCCCTGGAAGCGCAGGGCGTCGCTGATGGCGGCGGTCGCTGGACCGCCGCTGCCCTGGGCAACTGTAATACCGCACCCTGAAGCAGCCCGCGTGGACACTAGCCGTGGGGAAGGGGTGATGGTGTAGTCGGGGCGGTCCCAGATCCGAGCTTCAGGCGAGTAATGAAGTTGCGTCGCCGTCTGAGGTAACCACATAGCTGGAGTGTGCCGCGACGTCCAGGCCTTCATGAAGGTCGACCTCAGACCACAACCCGCCCTCTGGCGAGCATGGCACGGTGGGCGCGGCGATTGCTCCATATGCTGTGCGCTGGTTCGCTCCCGTCATAGTAGTCATCCTGCGACACGGAACTCCAGGGCGGCCGTGCCGCCACCGAGCGCTCGACCCTCAAGCGTAATGAACTTCGGCTAGTGATGGCGCGCAGAAGAGAAACGAAACATGACAAGTCCCACCATCAACTGATGATCATGCTTCGCGGGGGCTTGCGACCCCGCAGACACGAGAAACGACGCCAGAATCGCTCGAACCAGGGCCTTGAGAAGGCGTTTCCCGTCATCCGCCAAGCAAGAAAACCTTTGCAACCGCGAGCCAGTTGTCCCTCGCGAGTTCGTTCTTCATGTATTGCTTAGTCAGCATAGCCTAACAAACTCCCATCGCCATCTCGTTCAGAGAAGGCACTTCCGGTCATCCGCCGACCCCCGCTCGCCGGGGGTGCGAAAGCGTGTGATATGATTGGCTGTCCCCCTCCCGCATTCCCCCTCCCCCACGGTCTCCCCGGCGCACCGCCGGAGACTCCGGAGCTTCCACATTTGCCCTCTGTGGCCGCAAAAACGTTCCAAGACGGTCCCCGAATCGCGGAATGAATCGCCCAAGACGCCTACGAAGGCTCCAAGACGCCCCAAGACGCCTTCGAGTCCCCCCAAAAGCATTCCCAAGAGAGCCCGTGATGCACAATCCAATAAATGTTTTAAAAGGTTTTCCTTTGTTTCGGAGGTTTTCGTATTCTCGAGCTTCCGACGCTCCAGGACGGCTCAGGAGGCCCCGTAGACGGCTCCAAAACTGCCCAAGAGGCCCCTACGATGGCCCCAGGACGGCCAACGATCGCCAGAAGAGTGCCGCAAGATAGGCGAAGAGGGAGAAGACGAACCGAAAATCCGATCTTTCCGCCCCAGGAGGTCCAAGGTCCCCCAAAGGCACCAAGAGGCCCCCAAGCGGCCCAAAAGAGGCCCCCAACAAGCCCCAAGAAGCCCCCAAGAGGCCCGAAAGAGGCCCCAAGGCAGCCCCAACACGATTCAAAACTGCCTCCAAAAGGCTCCGCCAGGCCCCAAAACAGCTCCCAAGACGCCCACACTAATCCCCATATAGTACCAAAGAAGCCCGCGACGCCTCAACCGTGGGCTCCACGCCTCTTCTGGGGGTCAGCGGAATGGCGTGAGCCTCTTGAATACTAGCGGAAGCAAGATGACCAGGAGGTGAAGGGATGTTGGGATAACGCTGATCATGAATTGATGTACGCCAGCTCGCATGATCAAATTCGACAATGTCGACAAGCGGCCGCAGAAGCCGCTGACGGTGCAGGGACATTTCCCCTATACAAAAATTGCGCGCAAGATGGCACACCATAAAATAGCACGCGTGGGAGCCGCTCCATCATCTATTTATGTGGAGCCCGCGACAGCGCCGCAGCAGGCCCAAACCACGCGCACTGGGACGTACTGGCCCCGAGGGGGGAAGAGGACACGGACGAGGAGGAGCAGGAGGACGGGGAGGACAGGGCGAGGCGGAGGCTAAGGACAAAATGCAACTCCGACAGCGCATTGATTGTCACAACGTGGACCCCAAGAGATCCCCCCCGACCGTCCCAGGGCCCGGCGAGTGCTCCAGAGGCCGAACATGGAGAAGCCCTCCTCCTCCTCCTCCTCCTTCCTCCTCCTCCTCCTCCTCCTCCTCCTCCTCCTCCTCCCGCCTCCACCTCCTCTTGGCGGCCCCCACTCCACCCGACCCCATGAGATGAAGAATGGGTTCCGAAATGAGTGCTGCGCTCAAGAGCGAAACGATGTGCTGCAACAGCTCCTCTCGCTAAACAGCGAGCGGAAGGGCCGACTCGCAAACGGCAGGGGCGCGCTGCTTCGAGCAGCGGCCAGCAAGGAAGGGAGCCCCGTCTTCTGCAGAGGCGCGTGCACAATCCTACGTAACGATTGGGGGGAGCTGCACCGTGCTCTGCGCTCCATGTGAGGAGGAGGGTGACGACGGCGAAGAGAGGCTATACCACGTGGTGGATTTACGAATAACGAAAAAGATGGCAAGGTATGCTCCATAATCTGTCAGGTTTAGTTGGCAGGAGCAGGTAGGGAGCGAGGATTAGGCAGGATGGAGACGGTGGCAGGGGGAGGAGGCAGGCAGATGCGAGCAGGAATATCAGGATAAGCAACGGTGACTGCGGGAAGAGAAAGCGGAGCAGCAGGAGCAGGATGAGCAGGCTTAGGGAGGAGAAGAGAGAAAGGAGGTGGAGAAGGGAGAAGAGAAAGCCTGTGCAAGGCGTGGAGTCAGCGGGTACACGTGCAACGAATTCCAGGAAGGCGGGCGAGAGCGCGGTGCGGAAAACCAGACACGCGCCCGACACGATTCCCCGATGCGGGGCGACGGAGGCCGCCCGAGCGGGGCAAGAGCAGATGAGGCCGAAGGACCGCACCGCGCACCCCGATGCACCTTAATGGATGCGGAGGAGGAGGAGGAGGAGGGAGGGAGGGGAGGAGGAGGGAGGAGGAGGAGGAGGAGGAGGAGGAGGAGGAGGAGGAGGAGGAGGAGGAGGGAGGAGGGAGGAGGAGGAGGGAGAGGGGAGGAGGAGGAGGAGGAGGGAGGGAGGAGGAGGAGGAGGAGGAGGAGGAGGAGGGAGGAGGAGGAGGAGGAGGAGGAGGAGGGGGAGGAGGAGGAGGGAGGAGGAGGAGGAGGAGGAGGAGGAGGAGGAGGAGGAGGAGGAGGAGGAGGAGGGAGGAGGAGGGAGGAGGAGGAGGAGGAGGAGGAGGAGGAGGAGGAGGAGGAGGAAGAGGAGGGGGACAAACGTCTCGGCCCCCTCCCGGGGACGGGGCGCTCGCTGCGGGGGCCCTGCAGGGCCGCAGGCCGATCATCGTGCAGAATCTGCGCCTTGGCTGGTCTGACGCGTCGGAGGTCTGGACTGGCGCGACTCTCCTTTGAAGGGGCCCCAGGACACACAAATAAATACACACAAATAACAATAGTCCCCATATTTTCCCATATTTTCTGGGTTTTTGTCTTCCCCCCCACTTCCCATATTTTCCCATATTTTCCTGGGGATCACCGATTAATTGTGTCTGTGTCTTTTTTTCCCTCCTGAGCGACTCTCCTTGGCGGCCTGGAAATTGGCACCAACACCAGCACAGGGGTTTGCCTCCACAGTGGTCACCTTGGAAGCCAGAATATCACCACCATCACCGAGATCGGGATCGTCTTCTCTCGGTGGAGGCACACCGCCGATCTTGGTGTTGGTGTCAATCTCTAGGACTCCGATCTCCGCCCCCATCTGCTCCAGCCCCGTCTGGGCGGCCAGGAATTACAATCGGCCTCGATTGGACAGGACACGCGATGGGACACAATACCCTCCCGAGGGCCACATTGCCATAGGGGGGTGTAGGAGGCACGGGTCGCGAGACGCAGGACACAAAGGTACCCTTGATCTGGCAGGGCCGACCTACTAATCCGGGCCGACTGTAGCCGGCGAAGAGCGGTACAACATAGCTTCTGCGCCATCGGCGACACGCCTGTCGCAAGGCGGTCGGGCGGCTTCTGCCCCGACGTGCCGCCGTCCAGATCCAGGCGCCCCCGACGACACAGAAGCTGACCTTCTACCATACTTCGCCCGCTGATGGAAGCAAGGACGGCAGGGGCGAGACAAACCAGCATGGTAAAGCTTCGGGCTTCGCACATCGCACATACAGACCCCTTCAGATCGTCCCGGCTGGCCGGCTGGCCTGGATGTGCACCCCGAAAAGTTGTACCTTGCCTCAGCTCAGAAGGCCCTCCAGAGTAGTCTGGGGGCCTGCTGATTTCAGGTCAGCTGGGACTGCTCGCGTACTCGGTGGGCCTGTTGAGGCCCGCCCGAATGACCCGGGGGGCGGTCTGCGCGCAGCCCGAAGCCTTACGCCGAACTACCACCTGCAGAACCTCCCTGGGGGAAAACAGAAGGCACTGATGCCGCTACCCCCTTGAACCCTCCCAAGGCGCATTCTGACCAGGAATTCCAGGCGAATCCCGTCGTGGCGACAGGGAAAACAAGGGAAGGGTACACGGATATGCGATGTCCTTCCGGATTTTTTTAATACGGCGTCCCCAGAAGATCCGACCCTGTCCCCGGGACCGGCCGTTCATCCCGAAACGATGTTTGACAGTCCCCGTGAGGGCCCCCGAGGGGCCGAAGACGGCGAAACACACTACGTCCTGTTCGTGTCAAGACGCGGGCATGTCTGTGCAGCCGCGTCGGTGCCTCTTCCTGTTCCTCCTCCGACCCGCCGGCTCACCGCGCGCCCACCCGCAGGCCAAGGGACCTCAGCGACTTCACCATGGGCGCGGGCGTGTCTGCCCGCGCCAGCAGGCGGGCGCCAGCGTGCTCCCGCAGCTCGAAGGACACCGGGCGGAGCTTCTTTGAGGCCGCGGGCACCTCGAGAGTCGTGACACAAATAACACAACAACCAACACATCGTATCACGAAGGTTAACAATAATGAGCACAGCCCTACGAGCAAACGTACCACGGCAATATTGAACTCACGGGCGAGTCTACGTAGACGATGAAAGTCCAGAAGAAGAGAGCAGCGACAGCATATTAACGATATCAAAGGCAAGTGCGCCTAATACTGATGAATCTGAGTAGTAGAAAATGATATGAATCATGATGTGAATAACGAGGTGGGCAAGAACAACCATAACAACCAACATGCTGATAACACTAAGATTGAGGAATACTACAATGCAATCCTAAAAGGGACGACGTAATTTATAGAACGGATGAATGAATCTACGACAACTGTCGATACCAGTGCTGCTGCTGCTGCTGCTGCTGCTGCTCCCCCGTAGCCCCAGCTGGATTCTCCTCGAGATCCTCTGTCATGAGCGCGTCTAGGGAGAGGTCTGCCGGGGAGTGGTGGTGTCGTTGCCTCGCGTCGCCCCCCAAAGCTGTCGAGGGTCCGCGCGGATGTGTTGGATCTGTCCTGGGCCCCCTCTGATGTGCATCGCGGTCGGGCCTAGGCCGTCAGAACATCCCTTCAGAACATGAGACCCTCCGCCAGCCAAAGCGCACAGAACCTCCAAGGATACTCCCTCCCCAGGATGCACAAGAACGTCCAATAAGCACGAGGAACACCAGGGTAGCCTCGCGGAGCCGACCTTGATCTTATACCTCGGTCCGATTGTATCTTGCACACAACATTTGACAAGCGCGTTCCCTTACCCACAAAGAAACTACTCGCAAATGGCCTGGATCCGCCGAGGGGGATTTACGATACGCCCCATCGATGCAGACGTGTGCTTCTCTGACGTTTGCGAATGGGCACTTTGCGAGTAAGGAAACACGCTCGGTGAAACATGAGCAGCCGACCCCCTGGGCAGCGCACGGCCCCCTCCGACGCCCACTGCGCTGGCCGGCGTAATTCCGGGTTGGGCTCCCGACGGGTGAATCTGTAGTTGCACGCCCGAATTATCTGGGATGACTGCGGTCTGACCGCCCCCAACCCTGATGATTCGGAGCTCTGAGCTGGAGCCCACGGTGGCTGATCGTCGTGTGGCTGCTGCCCCTGGGATTCTGGCGTCTATTTTTCCGAGTCGGGAGTTTTCGCTATCGGCCCCTCACAGATCAGTGCGGCTCGAGCAATGACGCGACAGGATGGGGTCTAGGGCTCCAGGCGTGACCTTTTACGATGTTGCATTTTCTTGCGTCTGCTGCTCCTCGGAGGTCCCCAGTGAGGCCCGCTCCCGCTCCGAAGGCCCCGCTGAAGCCCTGCCAGGCCGTTGCTGCTTCGGCCCGGCCGAGGCCCTGGACCAGCCCACGGCGCGCCCCGCAGGGCGCCAGCGACACGGGGCGCAGCTCGCTCTGGCACAGCAGAACCAAGATCGCCTACAGTCGGCCTTCATTGGGCAGGACACGCGAGAGGACACAAGACCCTTCCCAGGGCCACACTGCCATGGGAATGCAGGAGGCACGGGCCGCGAGACACAGGACACAAACGTACCCTTGATCTGGCAGGGTCGACCTACTGATCCGGGCCGCCTGTACGCGACCTCGCCAGGAGGCGCCGCCAGGGGCCCAGCGCAGATGCAAGACATCTCCGCGGACTGTCGACGGCTCGGATCCATGTTGCTTTTTTTTTGGGACGCCCGAAACGGGTACGGAAAGAATGGGTACGATGCCCAACAGCAGTTCCTGTTCATTCTGAACAGGACTCGCTGTCCGCGCCGCCGCGGCCTGTGTCCATTCGAGACAGAAGGCCGCCTGCCCAACAGCGGCCGCTGTTGGTTTTGGACAACATTTGTTGTTGGGCATCGTGCCTATTCTTTCCGTGCCCATTTCGGGCGTCCAAATTTTTCACCCTCCGGCCTCCCGCTCGGGCCGGCCCGGGCCCGCCCCGGGCAGGCCGGCAGCGCCTGGCCTGCCCTGCCAGCAGCGGTCCTCCGTGCAGCGGTCCTGAGGGAGGGGCGGCGGTGCTCAGATCACCGCGGGGGCTGCTCGCAGCGCGCATAGGTCTGCATTCTGGTAAACCCAAGTACTTGCATGGCACTTCGCCCCCCCCCCCCCCGGCGTTTCGTGGCCCCTTGGGGAGCTCCACCGAAGGCCCCAGCGGCAGCGCCCGCATGCGCTTCCGCCCGCACTTCGGCAAACCCGTTTTACGGTTCGTGGCCCTCTAGGGAGCTCCACCGAGCAACGCCCGCATGCAGTTCTACCCCCATGCCAGTGTACCCCTTACGCGTTACGAGGCCCCATATGAGCTCCTCCTAAGGCCCCAATGGCAACGCCCGCATGCAGTTCCACTCCCATTCTGGTGCACCACCCCCTCACACGCTTCGTGGCTCCATAGGGTGCTTCACCAAGGCCCCAGCGGCAGCGCCCGCATGCGGTTCTGCCCCAGGGGCACCGCCCGCATGCAATTCCACCCTCATGTCGGCACACCCCTCACACACTCCGTGGCGCCATAGGGAGCTCCACCAAAAGCCCTCGTTGGTTATACCTTGCCAAATTTCGGTAGATACATATACCCTGGCAATAATACGGGTCCTAGGGGAGACGGGACCGCGACCTAACGCGGTGGATTAGGCGGCCTGCCAGCGCGGCACGCCACAAAGACGGATAAACGGGCTACTAATACCCTAGTGCTAAGTGGGCGCCGGATCTTTGCCCCCTGAGCCGAATAGGACACTTGCAACCCACTCATAAGCTAGGTCCGACCAGCTATAACCCACCTAGGCATCCACTTAGTTCCACTGGAACCTCCAATCCGCTTAGGCAACCATCGCGGTGACCAACCTAAGTGGAGACTGGCCAGGGATCAAAAACACATTGACCTGGAATCGACGACGCATCGCTGGTAGATTAGCGAAGGGCCCCCGATAGCGAATGGGCGATTGGGGGTCGACGCGTACCCCCGTATGCCTCGTCGTTTGGCTTTTTCGGGCGATTGGCAACTCGGGTTTGCGACGGCCGCTCGGGAAGCTCTGGACAACCCAGGTCGCCGCTCAGCCGGGTGCAGGTGCTCAAAAGCTCAGTGCTGAGGCGCACTGCTGAAGCGCACTGCCTCTCGAGGCGCCCCATGAGCCGACGGAGAGGTCGGCCCCCGCCCGCCCCTCCTGAGCCCATGGTCGGGAGCTTGTGTGTTCAACATCTCGCGGCGGCGGCCCCAGCAACACGACACCGTGCCAGCGGATGGCGTGTCGCTCCGCGCCGAGCGGCGGAAAGTGGGAGCTCGGGACGCTGACGCTCGGGGACTGGGACGTGGTCAGCGAGTCGTGCCCAAGCGTGGTGGGCCAGAACCAGCGGCGCGACACTCTACGCTCACATTTCCCGCCTCTGCTGTCACCCACCAACAGACTCAAAATCCGATGCAAGAAATTGGAAAGCGAAACGACGCCGTACACATAAACTTGTGGCGATCCGCGCGAATTGTTTACATCTGCGCTGGACCCCAAGGGCGGCGCGCCTCCGGGGGGGGGGGCTCAGCGCGGATCCAAGAAATCCGCGCCGAGCGCCAAAAGTTTATGTTTATGGAGTTTGTCTTTCTTCGAGAAATACTCGAGCACATTTGAAGGGACCCCAGGACACACAAATAAATACACACAAATAAACATATTCCCTATATTTTCCCATATGGTTGGGGTTTTCGTCTCCCCCATACTTCCCATAGTTTCCCATGTTTTCCCCGGAATCGACGACTCATTGTTGTGTCTGTGTGTTTTTCCCTCGCGGACATTTTTCGTCGATCTCTGGGGGTCCTAAGGCGCCCCAGGAGCTCACGCCATGGGTGCCCCATGGGGCCGTCGGGAGACACGGACCTTCTGCGGGACACCTGCTGGCGGGCCAGCTCCTGAGTTGACGTGCCAGCGTCGGCGGCGAGCGTTAAGTCGGGCCTGTCCCTCTACAGGAGGAACATTCAAAGATAATCAAAAAATTCCTGGGGACGATGTTTGGTGCATGTTCCCCATATCCTAAGATGGGGTTCTTGTTAGTTCTTGGACGCCGCCGACTTCTCCTCCTTCTTCTCCTTCTCCTCCCCTCTCCTCCTCAAACCCAGACTTACTCATACACAGACTGGCTCACACTCAGACTTACACATACCCAGACTAACTCACACACAACATTATTCATACTCAGACCTACTCATACTCAGACCTACTCCTGCTCAGACT